CTTTGAACTATGTATCTAATCTTTATTTGTGCTTAATATTTATACATGCTATATGCAGTATAGTATATGTAATATTCTACGAAAATAACACAAAAACTGTTTGCTGTTCTGTTTATATTTGGGCAGCACCTGTTGAGGAAGAGTTACTGCTAGCTTTCATTGTGTTATTATTTATTCATTTATGTAATGTAGGTTATGTATATCAATAATTCCTGCCTCTACTGAAATATGTACACATATTATTATCAAATATGTTAAATATTAACATGTATTTAACTTATTTAAATAAAATAAAATGATTTAGGCTTTTGATATTTATTGTAAATGTCATCCAGAGTGGGTGGCACGGTGGCTCAGTGGTTAGCACCATTACCTCACAGCAAGAAGGTCGCTGGTCCAAATACATGACCTATATAGGTGAATTGGGTAACCAAAATTGGCTGTGGTGTATGAGTGTGAATTTGAGAATATAGTTAGTATTTTCCAGTACTGGGTTGCAGCTAGAAGGGCATCCACTGTGTAAAACATATGCTGAAATAGTTAGTGGTTCAGTCTGCTTAAGTGTGACCTCTGATAAATAAGAGACTAAGGTGACCGAAAATGAATGAATAAATGAATCATCCAGAATAAAAAAAGAAAAACTAATACACTTTTACAATGACTCACCGTCTCAGAGAATGAGGTTCAGCTTGAGGATTATTAAGATTTGTGCTTTACAATCGCAACATCAGTAAAAATCAGACCCTTCTGTTACAAAATGCAGCAAACTTACTTTTAAGTTCTTGTCATTTCAAGCCTAGACTACTCTATCAGCAGACCTTCAATCCAGCAATAATAAACCTGATTCAGAACACTGCTTTATGTTTGCTTTATGTATCAGTCGACATCAACATTTATCATTAAAATGTCCCCAAATGTTATGAATTGTCTATTTATTAAAACAATAAAATAGTTTTCTCTTTTTTGTTTTTTACAAATGATAATTTCTAGCCAAATTGGTTAATATTTACCACATATTTACGCTTTATAGCAAGAATTTGTGTGATGAACTGTAGTGCTGCTGCAATTCATCGATTTAACCGACTCAACGTTGATAATTACTCAACATCAATATTTTAACTGACTTACAATGTTGTATTACTTAATCCTATTAAATTTCATTTTTATACTTTGAATAAAATATCCACAAATACACCCGTGCCATTAGTATGAGCAATGAACATCACATCACTCAATGTTGTCTCAGTCGCCTGACTTGCCTCAGAAATGCTATTGATGTATAATAACACAGCAACAAAATGCATGATGCATAAGCGCCAGAAATCATGCTATGTGTGTCTGTGAGAGCTGCACGTAAGAGCGAAGCTCATTAATATTCACAACCGATCCAAATATGGTCAATATGAACCTTATGATTCTAGGAGATTTTTATGGTGTTATAAATGAGCTTATAAACTGTTTCTGGAGGATTTTTAAAATAATATCTAATCCTTATACATACTATGTAGATTTCAGAAAACATTCACTCCTTCATTATCCTTCAGCTTAGTCCCTAATTTTTCTTCTTTGGCTTAGGCAGTCGCACTTTTTCCCTCTCCATCCCATATCTCTCCTTGTTAGCTCCTCGTCTTCGTCTTACTCTATCTCTGAGGCTCTCCGTGCCCTGCTTTGAAAATGAATAGGGAATTATGGATTTGAACAACTGGTCTCTGAATGCGATTGATACCATCTTCTTGGCAAGAAGTTTGGGCTCGGGACAGCCCACTTGTCCTGCGGTGACGTTTGCAGCTGGATACGTGGTAGAAGTGGCGTGTACTGTGCCTTGCAGCTCTGTCTCTGGAGGATATTGAAGATATTTACCTATTCGGAACTTTGATAACAGGGTTTCTGCTGATGGGCTTATGCGAGGCCCTGGGGTATGAAATCGGTCAGTGCTGCTCAAAACCCCACCAGGCTGGCCGGCTTGATTGAAATGCTGATGGGCAGGCTTGCTACTAATCATACTATGGTCCTAGATCGCAAATTGGAAAACATCGGGAGGAAATTAGCGGCTTTGCAAAAAGATTTGGCCAGATCTGGAGACAAGTGGTGGACACTAAATATCTGTGAAATTGGCAGATATTGACCTAAAGTGGAAGTATTTTCCTACTCTTTTGCCTCCCTGTTTTCTTTTCTCCTACCAGACGGCCTCGACTGGCGAAAAACAACTTCTCCCGTATAGCAAGATAAGAAGACGCTCTGAAATTCCTGCTCTCTGTCAAGAACACCTGTTGGACTCTACAGGCTTACACACACACATACACAACTACAGATCACTTCCAACAATCACTCCCTATCCCCTCATCCAATGCTTTTATGCGCTTTCACCCACTGGAGGAGGTAGGCGAATCTGCAACCAGCACGCCCATGGCTGCAGGACCAGATGGCTGCCCACCCTCATCGTACTATATCCACACCCCCTGTTCCCATCCCCTGTGGCAATGTTGTGTCTTGTTTGTGTGTTTTTGTGCTTAATTGCTGGGACTCTTTTTTTTTTTTTGTCTTCCTGGTCCCACATTGCTCTAATTCAAGGGCAAGGTGAGAGGGAGTTTATTTTTTTGCCTCCCTTTCCTGAAATGTATCTTATTTCCTTTTCTAAATGCTACCGCCTGTGACCTGTCTTCCCCTGAAACTCGTGATGTTTGTGAACGGTCAGGGGAATTCCATTTCACTATACGAAAGTGTATGTGACAAATAAAGGCCTGATTTTATTTTATTTAATTTATTAGAGGTTGCTAAAGTGTAATGTACCGCCAACTACTCTGACATGTTTTATGCAGACGATGCCATTTCAGCTACAACACAGCACTTGGAAAGACCTATACACTCTCTCATTCTCATTCACACACACACACACACACACACACACACACACACACACACACACACACACACACACACACGCACACACACACACACACACACATACATAACAGCCAATTTAGTTATTCAATTCACCTATATTGCATGTCTTGGTGGACTGTGGAGCAAACCCACACATACACAGAGAGAATTTGCAAAGTCTAATAAAGTGAAGAAATCTTGCATCTTAGGCATGCTCGTGTCTGGATCCACACGTATCGCTTTAACAGCCAAGTGGAAAAGAAAAGGTACCCCACAAAACACGGCAGCAGTTCAAATGTCAAAGTAAAAGAGAGAAGCAGAAATGGATTTTTAGAGCATTTCTTCGTAATAGTGAAATAGTGCCTTCTTCAGTGTCAATGAAAGACGTTCCAGCAAACTCACAAGCAGTGAATTGTGCACAGTTATCTATTTTTTAGATAGTAGGAGGAGCATTTTATTTACTCACCCTCGCCTCCTTCGCCTTAGTATTCTACTGCGACATCGCACATATAGGAGATAAATGTACGTAATAACCGGTTATGATCTATTACTGAACCGAGATCGAATTATCCCCATCTGCATCGTGGTGCACTGAAGAAACAATTCATTTTGCCACCCCCACATTTACGCATGCTCCTACAAATCTAAATGTGAATAATTTCCATTTCCTTTTGTTCCCATTTAGACAAGTCTTCAGTTTTTAGTGATCCCCATACTTTACACCCATTTATTGCAATTGACTTAAAAGCTATGTTTCCATCCAAAAATGCGAATGAACTTTATGCCCAAAACTGGATTATCGCATAAAAGACGTGCGGATAAAGCAGTGTTTCCATCCAACGAGTCAACAAAATAGTCACTTCCTGAAATCTGGCGCCAAATATCAACAGTTAAAACTGAATTTGCTGCAGTAAGAGAAGCTGCTTCAATCTTTTTCTCATCTAATAAATGACTCGCGCCTCAGAAGGCAATCCTGACATGTAGTGAATGCACGGTGGTGTTTTTAAGGTGTCAGAGGCGGAGCACAGACGGTCTTGATTCTGGACGTCAATAATAATATAATAGCACTAATACTTAAATGGTAAGGCGTTTTAGAATGACCAAAACAACATTTCAGATGTTTTAAAATGTGCTCAGCCTGATGGTTTGTCCATTCACACACATTTTTCTAACCACATGATCTCTTACAACAATATCACATGACCTTTCTTAATGCGCATGCTGGAGTTTGTGCGGTAAAAATGTTTCCATCGTAGTTTGTGCTCATCTTTTCTTACCGAATAAAAAGTTTATGCTACGCAGTTATGCGCAAATGATTTTTATGCTCATTTTCAAAATTTATGCACATGATGATGTTTCCAGCAACCATCTTTTTATGCATATATCCAAAATGAGCATAAAAATAGGTGGATGGAAACAGCTATTGATAGCTTTTTTTTAGCCAGGTCCAAACAAGAATTGCAAAAGGAACAAGAACTGTATTTGTTTATAATTGAAAATACTATTTGTGCTTCTTGCTTTTAGCTCACTTACAGCCTGATTAAAGTTTCTGGTTTTTGCTTATTTTAAGACCCATGTTATGGGTGTGTTGGAGACTTGCTCATTTATTTTCATTACACCTGGAACTGTTTTGAAAGATTATTATTTTAGCTTTTGTATGTTGATTAGACCATGTTTGGCTGAAAGACCAATGTCAAGGAGCTGCTGAAGTCCTTCAGTAGTTTTAGACGGATTGGCTAAAACCTTATCAAAGAGAACACATTCTTTGGTTATTTAATTTATATAGGTTTTAATTGAATTTTTGCTCAAAAGATAACCCTGTCTGACTCCACGCTTCTAGTTTGTCTCCTATTTTTACAGCACCTTTAATGAACATTAAACTGAAGGTCTGCTCAGGTTTTTTATTACATCACTGTGAACGAATGGCTATTTTAACAGTAGACACAGACCAGACATGTGTTATGGCTGCAAGATTTGACGGCATATCAAACTTAATGTGTATAAAAGATGGAAAAAAACAAAATGAATGCATTACATCAGAGTGGGCGGTAGGTGGGCTGGTCAGTCTGATCCAGACACTGTATAAATGAAAAGACAGAAAGGAGAACAGAACAAACTCCTAACAGGAGGAGACTCACTCATGGCCTACGAGACAGAGGATCAGGAGACTCAATACTGCTTTCCTGACATCAACTCATCATGTGTCAAGGGGAGAAGCGCAAGTCATGGATATATCATCATCTATGTGTTTGTGTCATTGTTGTCAGCATGGACTGTGTTTCTGAACCTGCTGGTGATCATCTCCATCTCTCACTTCAAGAAGCTTCACACTCCAACCAACATGATTATTCTCTCTCTGTCTGTGGCTGATCTGCTTGTTGGATTCATCATGCCTGTAGAGGCCATCAGACTGACAGAGACATGTTGGTACTTTGGAGACACTTTCTGTTCACTCTATTTATTATATATTGCGGTACTTCTTTCTGCATCTCTTAGTAATTTTGTTTTAATTGCTCTTGATCGATATGTGGCTGTGTGTCACCCTTTACTGTACCCACAAAAAATAACCATCACTAAAACATTAATGAGTATCTGTCTGAGCTGGGCTTGCTTCTCAGCATATAACATTACCTTTGTTATTTATAATGGATATTTTGACACTTTATACAAAACAGATGTGTGTTATGGACAGTGTTCATTCATTATGAGCTTTCATTGGATAGTCACTGATCTGTTCATGTCTTTTATTTTTCCCTGTTTTCTGATCATCACTTTATATTTGAGGATTTTCTATGTCGTTCATCAGCAAGTGAAGGTTATAAACTCTCTGATGAAGGCTGGTAAATGTGTAACGGAGGGTTCAGTGAAGAGGAAATCTGAGAGTAAAGCTGCTCTGACTTTAGGAATCATTGTGTCTGTGTATCTGCTTTGCTGGATTCCATACTATATCTGTACATTAACTGTAAGCTCCTCCACAATTATAAATGTTTTGACATGGGTTGTCTATGCTAACTCAGGTCTGAATCCTCTGGTTTATGCTTTATTTTACCCCTCGTTTAAGAAGACATTTAAACACATTTTAACTCTGAAAATACTTCATTCTGCATCCTCTCTTATAAATATCTTTACAGAAAGTTAATTGTAATAATGTCATAATGTACTAAGTAATGTGCCAAGTCCTAAAAAAAGTCATAATGTACAACCCGCCATTCTGGTATCATTCACAACTTCTGGCAGTGGAAACAATTACATACTGTACTGTACCAAATCGTACCGCTCAGTGGAAATGAACTGTTAAAGTAGTGTGGGGTAGCTGTAGCTGAAGTGGAGCACTCTGAAATAAAAGCAGCATATTAAATTTGGATGCTTTTCATGGACCTTTTACTTTGCCAGTTAGAGAGACACTTGCATTGAAGACAGGTGAATTCTTACAAGTACAGATGTGCTGATAAGACCTGGGCCTATAGGTTAAAATGTGTATACATCAGGAATCTGCAATGTTGTCATACAGCGGGGGAAGATCTAACCTGCTGATTGGTCAGTTTGAATGTCACAAATGTTGGTTTTGGTCACATGTTCAAAAGAAAGGTGTTAGAACATTCTAATTGTTGCTTTCTCTCTCTCTCTCTCTCTCTCTCTCTCTCTCTCTCTCTCTCTCTCTCTCTCTCTCTCTCTCTCTCTCTCTCATCTGGCTTCCTCAGGCCCTTTCTCTGGGCTCTGTCTATTCTCTGGTCTCCTTTCACATTATGCAGTCTAAAATGTATGCCACATTTCCATTTATTCTCCCTACTATAAGCTAACCTTAACATGAGCAGGTTAGCTGTCTAAGCTGTCAAGTTAGCTTGACTAGTCACAATGTGCTGTTAATTTGCAGAGGACGAAGAGAATTCAAATCATGTTGTTAACCAGTAATAAATGTAATACTATCAAAGTCAAAGTCAGCTTTGTCGTCAATTTAACCACATGTACTGGACATAGAGAGAATCGAAACTACGTTACTCTCAGACCCTAGGTGCCTAACATAGAATATTAATACAAAAAGTACACTTTTAAGAAGAATTTACAATAAATACAATTATACATAAAATTTGATCTAAAAATATACGTAAAATGTAGTCTAAAGAATTAAAAAGAATGAAAATGTGTAAACAATACAATACAATGACATTAAGGGCATATGGCAGTGAGTGCAAACCAGAGTTGTGCAAATATAAAAGAGTATATAGTAAAAAAAGGCTTGTAAACATGATAATTATGATAAAGTGACAGTGTCATAATATGTAGGGAGTATAAACTTGTATAGACAACCTTAATTTTTTTTATCTGTTTGTTTCTTTTATTTATTTATGTATTTAATGTAATATACAGTGTGAAACAATCTGACAATGTCAATATAGGACCTGAGACAGGTCAAACATGGAGTTATTTGTAATATTTACCAAAAACAAAGCATCCACCCCTTCTCCTTACCAATGAGCAGACTGTGTGTTTTTCTTGCAAGCCCAAGAAATATGAACCTAAATAAAGTGAGTTGGCCTCAAAACAGGCAAAGAAAGACAAGCTTACTATAAGCCAGACTTTCTATCCTAATTCATAGACAGACATGTCTACAAATTAACCAACACATTCGCACAACATTATTTGTATCACTATTGTGTTTGTAAAACTGTTTTTAGGCTCATTTATTACTCCATAAGTACCCCTAAAATCAGAAGCGCCAAATATTGACCATATTTGTAAGGGTTGTGAATATTAATGAGCTTTACTCCGATGTGCAGCTCCGTGCTCTCGCTCACTCTGCCACACACACACACACACACACAGCATGATCTACTTTGAAATAAACACGTATATATTCATATTTCATTTTACAAAAAAAAACAAGCAAATAATATTTTACCTTTAAATGGTGGGGGTTTATTTTTGCTTGGAGTGAATTAGTTATCTAAAATAAGTCACCAAAGTATACTGTTTTTGCATCTGCCACCATGATTAGGTCTGATTGGATATTTAGCAAAAAAGCGTCCCTCACTCATATTCTCGTCTCATAATGTCAGTATATTTTTATTATAGTTGTCGTCATCATCACTTAATTTTTATTTCGCTTTCATCCGTAGAAACTTGTTCTAAAATTATGACGACAACGAAATTAACACTGATGCATAAGTAACATTATGTTCATTACTGAGGCACGTAATTCAGTCTTGTAAATGTGGCCAGTTTTAAGGCTTGACTTGCCATTTAAAGCTTGCATAATGCACAAACGTCTCCTTTGAAAATCAATAATGGATTTTCTCCGATACGAGTAAAATATAGGTGTGATTATCTTGAATAATGGTTGCAGATGGAGGTCAATGAGATTAGTCAAGCACTGTGCAGGGTAGACTTCAATACAGACCAGACAAGGTTAGGGCTTTCGTAGTTTTGCTGCAGTCATGGCAGACCATGTGTTGTAATCAGTAATAATGACCACATTGTAATAAAAATCTGTAAGATTGATATTTGTGTAAGACCCATTCAATAAAAAGTATTTAACTTAAATGGCTCAATTCAGTAAAGGATCTGTATGAAGAAGGTCCAAATTTAACCTGTGCACACAACTAATAAATTAATGAATTAACAGATATATGATGCAGTAAAAATAACTCATCTCCTAGTGATGGCACAAACTGCTGAATGTTTTGTTTTGAAAGTCAGTTTATGAGAATTATTAGTGTTAGGGTTATTTAAGATGGAAACGCTTGGGTTACAGCGACATTCATTAGATTTGAGAATGGTGGTGGCGGTGGAGCAGACAAACAACCATTTATGCCCCAATAATAGTATTTATATTACAAGGTGAGTAAATTATGAAGTAAATACAAAATAAAGAAAACTAAATAGAAAAAATGGTTGTGGTGAAGGGGAAGAGGAACAAAAGAAGCGCCAAAAATATTATAATAACAAAACGCAACTAACTAACTGAAAACCCACAATCTCTAAACTATCTAGGAAGAAAAAGAAAAGTCTTCAGCGCTTTGAAGGTTTTGAAAAAATGTATTAGCTGTGTCTCACTTCAGAGGTTGCATCCTCCAAAGGATGCATTCAATGTGTGCTGTGTTATCGCGGCGTAACGGAGACTGCCTCATTTTTAATAACTTGAAGGCTCCTTCAAATGCATCCTTCGTTTCCCAGGTAATGAAGGTCAGAACCGGTGGATCCTTCGCAACCTCAAACATACCAAGGTTTATTGCTCGCTGATACGGCAGTAGGCTTTTAAAAGAAAACTCCAGATGAAATGTATGAATTAGGTTTTATTTTACTTGGATATCTAAACACATGTCAAAAAACTAAGAGTATGACATGTCTAAATAAGAGTGATTTTATAGACAGTATACATATATTTCCAGCTTTTGTAAACCTTGCTTTGCCTTCAGATCGCTTAAAATAAGTTTAAAATCACTAAAAAAAGTAATAAGATTTTTAATTACAGCTTATTAACAGCAGCTATTATGGTTGCCTGTTGTCGAGATCTGTCTTCTGTAGGCATGCCTCATTTCATGTCAGGTCGTGTCAATGCACCTTAAAACACAATCAGAATGTCGTAACCTGGGCAGAAAAAAAAAGATTGTTTATCAAAGCGATTGTTTTAGAAAGAAAAAAAAATGTTATGCATGACATCAGGGTGGGCGGTAAATGGGTTGGCCAGTCTGATGCAGACACTGTACAAATGAAAAGACAGAAAGGAGAGCAGAACAAACTCCTAACAGGAGGAGACTCACTCATGGCCTACGAGACAGAGGATCAGGAGACTCAATACTGCTTTCCTGACATCAACTCATCATGCGTCAAAGGGAAACGCTTCAGACATGGATATATCACATATTTGTTTGTGTCATTGCTGTCAGCATGGACTGTGTTTCTAAACCTGCTGGTGATCATCTCCATCTTTTACTTCAAGAAGCTTCACACTCCAACCAACATGATTATTCTCTCTCTGTCTGTAAATGATCTGTTTATTGGACTCATCATGCCCTTAGAGGCCATCAGACTGACTGAGACATGCTGGTATTTTGGAGACACATTCTGTGCAATATATATGTTATTCATTTCACTTCTGGTCTCAGCATCTCTTAGTAATTTAGTTTTTATTTCTGTTGATCGTTATGTGGCTGTGTGTCACCCTTTACAGTATCCACAGAAAATAACCATCACTAAAACTTTAATGAGTATCTGTCTGAACTGGGTTTGCTACTCAGCATATATCATTACCTTTGTAAATAATATTGGATATTTTGACTCTTCACACAGAACAGATGTGTGTTATGGACAGTGTTCAGTCATGATGAGTTTTAGTTGGAT